AGTCGATTTTTCACCGTACTCATTAGTATTGCACGACTCTTCCGGAACTATTTATTGACTTTTTAATCACTGACGGCAGAGTGCAGTGATAATATGATTGTTAAATTTCTGTGTAAATGGTTGTAGGAGGAAACTGGGGGTTCAATGGCGTCGAACTCTGTAAAGGAACTGAAAATAACAAAAATGGTAGGTATTTCATGTCTCGTTTAGTCGTTATCCATAAAGTGGACAGATGTGATAAACATGTAACTGTGTAAGCAGTTACAGTACTCACGACCACTCCTCTGGGTTTGGGGGACTGCTCCTGGAATGTAGTGTATTTAATAGTCTCCAATTGTTAGTGTCTGAGAGGAGGTTAATCGCCGAGGGTAGAATAACCTGTAAAATCGAGAAATCTGTGTAATACGGGTCTTACCATCTACTTGTCTGTCCATCTGTCAGTATGTCTTACTGTCTACGTGTCTGTCAGTATGATTCAGGTCTTATCATCTCCCTGTCCGTATGTCTGTCAGTATAATTCTATAAGGTCTTACCATCAATATATATGACGAAAATCGTAAAAACTTCTTTTAATGCAAAGAAGAATGTGTTGGTGATTGATAAATAATTACAATAACAGATTCAATGGTTGACATATTGCCCTAAATCACAACTATATTTTTTATAAATTGGTAGCAAATTTTATCCATTGAAACCAGGTTTTCAAAGATCCCTGTCGGAGATGAAAAATGAGGATCACTTTATAGTCATTCAAATCTAAATATTGATTTATCAAATATTGATTTCTATTTTACCTGAAACATTTATACTCATTCCTCTTAAATTAAAATCTTATTAGAAACTGATTCTCTTTAATTGTTCTCTCAGATGAATTATACCTTGTAAAAGTGTGTATGGAAAACCATTCAAATATTTTTAATTTTGAAAATTGGATGGAGGTTTGTAGCTGAAAAATTCTACTCTTTTTCATAATTTAGTTTTCCCCTTTACTGTCTACTCTTGATATTTGTGGTCATATAGTATTTCAATGCTTTAATATAGGATTGAAACGTTATTCCTTTCATTTATAGCACTCACATTTAAATTTAATCCATTTTTACATAAAACATTTGGCTTGTGTAATTTCCCGTTTATGCATAAAATTTCACACAAAATCCATTGATCATCTTCATGAAACAGTTATTCCTGTATATAATGCTTTGCATTCCGCCTCCACGGGTTGTTTCTCTAGGTGTTGTTCCTCACGTGGTTTTTTTGTAAAAGTGTGTCATGAGGAAATCAATTACATTTACAATTGGTAATTTTATCTCGGACAAAGACATTGGAAATGTAAATATAAGATAATAAAGCGTATTGAGAATGTTGCTTAGAAATAATGTACACTCGTGGATGAAATCTTTTAAGTTCATTTTTACGATTTTTACGAATACTTGAAGTACTTTCATTGAAATGCTCTCAACATATTTTTCGGTAGAGATTTTTAGAATTTTTAAGATTTGCATCTTAATGTCAGGGCTTTTTCTTATAGTTACGTAGAGGGATTCTTTTAAATATCGAGTTCAGAACCGTATTTTATATATAATATAGCCTTTTTATAATGATATATGCTTAGAAAGAATGTACATTCATGAATGAAATCTTAAGTTCATTTTTACGAATATCAATTGTTTTATTATTTTTTATCAGTTAATGCAATGCTTAAAATCCTTCTTTATAACATATTTTCATACAAGACATTGTTATGTCATTGCATTATGACGTCACAGTAATGAAAAACAGCTGCATATCTGTTTTTAGAAACATCCAGTCTATAAAGAAATTGTGCCAGACTTTGTATAGTTACTGGAGAACGTTTCCAATTTTAGAAACAGCAGGTTTATAAATTTTTAAAATAAATATTGTGTTCAAAACTTTTCGCATTTTATTTGTGTCCATTAGTCATCAAATATTAAAAATTATTTAAAATTAATCAATATTGTGTTTACTGACGTAACAATCACGTCACAAATAATATAAGTATGATTCCTCCATTATCTAAAATCTTTTTTGTGAGTTTTTGTCAACAAAAATAAAAAACAACGTTTTTTAAAGTATTAAAAGTTTCCTAATAAAATAAGACGCTTAGATTGATATAGATAGCTAATGGATCAATCCTCTGAACAGGAAGCAATTCTTTTTGATTAATAATTTGAATATAGATACATCTATTTTTGAGTTAATGCCATCTATTATATATATAAATGCTTTCAACAAGGTGTAGAAATAATAACATGCTAAAACATTACATGTAGACGTAACTAGAAAAATAATGTTTTATCTGTTATGACATAACTCCCACAAAAGTTTTTTTTTTAAACTGACGATAATAGATATTTTATAATAATACCTGTGTTAATTTGCCTCAGCCATATGTGTTAAATAATATGTGCGATTATGTTATTAAAATGCAATTATGCTTAATTCATGAGAGGGACTTTTTAGGGAACGTTGTTTACTTAGCGGCAAAATGAAAAGGTGTTTGTGTAAAGCAGACATTCAGATTTATTGTCAAATTCGCATTGAGTTAATGCAATTAGAGTGAAATAATTTGGGTGTTATCCTAAGATCATTGGGAAATTGTATCTTAGTAAGTGGAGATAGGGTCTTCAAAAGCTCTCCTCAAGTTAGATCAGATTTTAAATCGTCATAAAACAAAATCAAAAAGGGAGAGTACATGTATACGAGATTTCAATTGAAAAGTCCAAGGTATGTGAATATAACCTTTTAATTAAGTTACTGATATATTTGGTGGGATGTAAAATGTATTTACTAGTAATGTGTTTGTGTGGGTGGGTGGTGGTGGGGGTGATAGAGAAAGAAAGAGAAAATATGGTGTCAAATTTCAAGGAGATGGTTCAACAAGGCATGCAAAGGGCCTATCCTCATAAATCTATTTTTAAATTTAATTCGAGTAAAATCTTATTTCTGAAATTCATATATTTGTGACCAAAAAATCTTTCTTAAAAATTCGCAGAGACGTTTTCAAAACGTGTGTGGTATTCTTGGGATTCACACGCAAAAAATATAAGTACACATTATAATAATTATGAAATGTAATGTTAAAGATATTTTTATTATAATTTAGATTTCATTTTCACTATACTTTTCGCATAATAGGTGTTTAAGTTTGCTTGTCTTGTTTCTCCGTTCTCTTTTCATACTGTTGTTAAATAAAGTGCCCTGTCAAGAAAAGGAAACCAGCTAAGCAGCTTAAAATGTGCTTTAAAGATTGTTTGTTTTCTACTTTAAAATATGCACTCTGACTCATGTGATACATTTTAAACTAGTACAAGATTTTTGTGTAGCTATTTTTTTTTGCCTTTTTTTTACAGGTCGAAATAGAACTGAATAATGAAGATAAAACAACTTATTCCAAGTAATTTCTTCCAGAAGTCAAAAAAGAAACGAAAGGTTGAAAAGAATAAAGACATTTTGAAGGATACAAAACACTTTGCAGACCATATAAAACACGCTGAATTTTCAGTACAGTCACGCGAAAACAGTATTTCAAACCTGGTAGACATAGATTCAGACTTGGATACTCTTTTTGATACCCTTCGTTCTAGAGCTAATCGAACACACGCAACACAGCAAACATTGGACTCTGATTTCGATGCATTACAACCAGAGATATTGTCATTTGAAGACAAAGAACAATACAATAGTTTAAAACAAAGGACACGAATTCGAACAAACCCTTGGGTTCAACTTCCGGTTACTGAAGTGGCATCTGAGCTGTGTAATTGTCAACCAAATCCAAAGGACACGTTTACGGTTAACAAAGAATTCGGCGATCAATGGGAATACAGCGTCATTGAACGACTCATATCTCAAAACATTTTCGAGTTGAAAAGTACTTGCAAACAACAAACATTTCAAAATAATTTAGAAATAATTTCTGAAAGACAAAAACGATCAGACGGTACAGATATCGACACCCGTTACCGTTGGTCCATCATTTCGGAAGGCGACATATCAGTGGACTGGAGTTGTGAGGAGTTCTGTGAATGTTACGATATCGATTCAAAAAATGGCAACGTAAGTTACAATGCGCAATATGAAAATGACCTTGACCTCATTTTAGAGCAGAGCATTTCGGAGGGAGACTTCACAAAAGTTTCGATGGAGGACCTGCTGAACGAAGTCGTAAATGAATCAGACTGCAACAGAGAGAGTAACGAAGGAAAGGATATCAACATAGCAGCTGAAGATAGTTCACAGGACTCAAGCGAAAGTCCCTATCCATTCACTGATATTGGCTTAATGCAAGAATCTTTGGACGCAGGATACGCAAGCTTAACGCGAGATGGCACGCTTAGTACAGATGACGAGGAAAGAAATGATTCAGGAATGGCAGACTCTTGGAGGGAACCCCCAGAAACAGAGGCTGGTGAAACATCAACAGAATTAAACGGCATCGTGGACACAACCCCTAGTGGAAGAACGCTACCGGAAGTGAAAGAGAGTCTGCAAGACAAGATTAACCAGCTTCGGCTGGAAAAGTTAATCGTGCAAAATAAAATCAGGGAGGCTAAGGAAGAGGAAAAATCCCGAATAGAGCAACGGAGGCTCTTACAGGGAAAATACCCGGCTGAAAGAAAATTATCTCTCTTCAAAACCTTAATTGACTTAAAACAAAGATTGGAAAACCAGACTTTGCGAATACAAAGAAGCTATTCTGCTGTTCTAATAATGCAGAAAAACTTCTCTCGCCAGAAATCTCCTGTACTCTGTGTTCCCACCCATATCACATTGTAGTAAGTCTCTGTAGTCCCATCCTTATCAATTCACATTATAGACATTTCTAAATAAAGTCCCTCTCACCCGCATGGCATTATAAACATTTCTAAGTAAAGTGTCTTTTATTTTCTGAGTGTCTATTTATAACTGAGATTTATTCCATCTTGGTTTGTATTGTATGTAGTGAATTTGTAATATCGAAACCATTTGATAAAGTTGATTTAACAGATGCTACACATAAGCAATTTCCCAGAAGGACATTTTTGTTTTCCCAATAAATCTGTTTGTTGTCTCCTAAAAATTTCCTCATGATTAGTGCTATTTCCCATTTTGTTGCATTTGTTGTGAGAAAAAAATAAAGTACTTGTGATTTGTAATCATGTGTATAATTAAGAATGGAGTCCTCCTGGTATTTAACATCTTCGATAGGAAGCTTTTTTCATTCAAAGAGGAGGTAAAACTACAGTGAAATACGCTTTAGCGAACACGCTGTTAATGAATTGACGCTAAGTAAGTATTACATTAATGCTGATATTTAAACAATAAAATGCTTTCTTTGTTTGTTGATACTGGAATGAACGGAAGCAGCTGTTGCAGAAAAAATAAATTTTTTCTGCAATAGCTGCGACCGTTCATTCCAGTATCAACAAAAAAAGACAGACATTTTATTGTTTATATTTATATCTGTTTAAATAATCAATTAAAGTAGGATTAAAAAGATTAATTATTATATTAATGATGCGAACGTCCTTATACGTTTCATTGATGGAACAGCCACTGATTAAGAAATCTGTACAGGCGACATGCCTACTGTAGTTTATGCAGTGATGAACGCAATGGGGTTTCTTAAGAAATAAAGGAGAAAATATTCAGTGGATGTAAATATTTAGGGTATAAACGCTACGTTTATTCATGTGATTTTAAGAATCGACTGAAGTTCAAAACAGGAACATGACATATGCAAGGGAGTGTTTTTGAATAATTCATTATTAGTTTTTACACGATATCTGATAGCATAAAATATATGGAGATTACGAACATTATTCAAGCTCAAAAGTCCATTAAACAATAATAGGAGCAGAGCAAACACGGACCTCCAAAGCATCAGAAGTGGGATGAGGTGCCCTGGAGGAGCGAACATTCCCTGTCGACCGGTCACAACCGCCGTGTGCTCCTTGTCATAATCTGGAATTAACGGAAAATTCCGTCGAGACAATTAAGTGTGTATACTAGTATAATGGCCTAACAATTAGTATGAAAATGTCAGTCAGCATTTAACTTAATGATAAATTGTATTTGCTGACAAGATTATTGTATTGACCAGATAACTTTTAAAATGACGACTTTAAACGAAACTGCTGATCTTCTTGTCTCAGCAACTTTTTTGTCAATCACCTACCTCGTTTTAAAAATTGTTCATACGTAGAGCATGTTCGTATAATCCAAACAACTGAGAGATAAACTCCGTTTGCAAGTGATGAAGGTACATCGCTGCATAAGTAAGGGAAGTTGATGATTGAATAGTTACAGTCATTGCAGCCCGGAGGACCGGGCTGCTCTATACATATACATGTAAGTTTAAGTATTGGTTTATGGGGATTGGGGTGGGAGTAGTTATTCAGAATTAAAGGTTTTCTAAACATTGAAAAGATTGTTAATCAGAATGTTCTTTCCCTTTATTAATTACGAGATACATAATATATTTACTTCCATAAAGTGAATCTTTAAAAATATATATGTTTTTCATATTTAATATATAAAGTTGCTTATCATTTACAATCAAAAAACGACAGGTCCCTTTTTTTAGAACATCGAATTTTACTTCTCGCATAAAAACGCACAGTTTGTGTTTTATATTCTAAAATTGAAAAATGAATACATTTTTAATATAGGTGATGCATGTGTCTAACTTCAATTTATATTTTATGCAGCCAACATTTACTCGTGGAATTAAAGTTTAAAATGGTATCGTTTTTGTTTGATATTCATCCGACTAAAAGTTTTCAAAATATTCGCGACTATCGTCTCCATCAATTAGACGCATGCCTTTTCACACATATCGAAGCAGTTTGATGATCAAGACTCATTTCCATTGTTTACTTTATATATTTCCCGGGCGACAATTGATGGTTACATCAATGTCTTCTTGTTTAGTTTTTCATAAAGATTTGTTGTTAGATTGTGCAACCAACATGGGCACCTGATCTCAGCCAAGCCGTGAAATCAGATTCGTAGTTTAAAAAATGCTTACCGGAAGGACTTTTTTACATAATTATCATAAAAATTATCTTTTCATGCTCTTGTGTGTCATAAGATTATGGGGGAGGGGGTAGTATATAGACATCATTGTTTGTTGGCCTTATAGTCATATATGGCGTATTTTTTTTTATAAGTTCAGACTAACTAATATTAAAAAGCTCTTTCTATTTGATTTGTTTGAATTTCTTTATATAAAGAAAGGACTTTCGTGTAAATTACACAATTTAAATCAACCGCGTTTTATAGATATCACAGATTTAAAACAATAACCGATTTATTTCCGGCTCAGAATTAAATAGCAGACACAGTTTAAAGTCAATGTAACTCTAGAAACGTGGGGATATTTAAGTTCAAAATCGGTGAAAATTTGAATTTAAACGTAAATAACATATATATAATGTAAATCTACACTAAATCTCGTATTTTTATTTTTTAGCTCAGATACGCCGTATATATCTTTAACATGCTGGGCTTTAATAGACTGTAACAAATTATTTCTACAAAAACGTTTTATATCGTGTAATAACGCCTTAGTGTTGTACTACTTCGTATTCAAAAGACGATGTTAATCAATGAAAATTAGTAGCAAATTTGAATCACAATATCTTCACATCACAATACTTTTCAACATGAAACATGGAGGTAACAAACAGTATTCCATATCAAAAGTCCATAAAACAGTACAAAATAGGAGCAGAGTAAGAACACGGACCTCCAGAACATCAGAGGTGGGATCAGGTGCCATGGAGGAGTGAGCATCCCCTGCCGACCGGTCACACCCGCCATGTGTTCCTTGTCATGATCGGGAAATAACGGGAAAAAAGTCGTCAATTCAGTGTATCTGACCCAAAGAAAAATTGTATTTGCTGACAATGTCATTGTATCGACCATAGAACTTACGAAATGATGACTTTAAACGATACGGCTGAAATTCTTGTTTCATCATCTTGTTTGTCAATAATTTACCTCTTTGTAGAAATTGCTCGTACGTCGAGCATGCTTTTGCATATCTAGTCAACTGAGATATGTAAACTTCGTATGCAGATGATGAAGGTATAAAGGTGTATAAGTAAGGGAAGCTGACGATAGAAAGGTAAAATGCATCATGTTTATATCAGAGCTTGGTTGTTAGATTACCATTAACGTCTTTTCAAGTAAATTATCTAAATATGAAACAGATGTGTCAGTCTCTTTCAGTTGTTTTCATCATCTTTATAACTGAAAATACGATTGAACCATGCTTGACACTGAATATCCTTCAGTAAAGGGGTATGTTTCAAGTTGTTCAAATGAATGACTGAGCTCCTTCAAAAGAGGAGATAATTAGGGTAAGCAAAAAATAGGGTGGGGTCATTTACATTTGTATAAATCTTTTAAAAAAAAAAAAAGATGTGAAAGGTTCCTGACAAAAAGGCCACTAGATTTAGGGTGAAACTGCAACAGGGAATCAAAGTATTTAGACAAAAAATAAAAAAACAGAAGAGCCATGATATTATATTATATTGTGTAAGAAATTCTAAGGTACTGCAGATTTCATTATGGACTAATCATGGTCCCTGGGGCTTAAATGGAGATAAAATGTATATGAGAATACATGTACACATTTTCAGATATTCTTTTCAAGAAAAGCAAGACCAAATGAAATCATATCCTTTTCTTAATTAATTTGAAAAGAATCCCAAGTTATTTGGATTTCAGTTTTTTTAAGCGTAGATTGTCAATCTCTAGGTATGGATGAGGCTAAAATGAGGGACCAAATTTTACATACTGCAGGGCAGGAAAATCTGATGAAACATCAAGGATATTAATTTTAATCATAATTGACGTTGAATCATCAACATTTAATGTTGACTAAGGGTTTATCATGATCCATTACTTTTCACATGTTTCAAAAAACATGTATTTCAACAACAGGCCATAACACTTAAAATTATTAACTTTGACCTCAATTAAGTGATGACCTTGCCACTTTGTTCAAGGTCAACAGTAGAACATGAATTTCTCTTCTTGAATTGTCAAACAGTATACACAGTGTATCAATGTATGAAATATTTGGAGCAATGTTCAAAATATTAAGAACCATGCAGATTTAGCTAAGAAATTATTAGACATAGAATGTATAATAAAAAATAACTTGACCTTGAGGTCAGAGGTCAAGGTGAGGAGAAGGTCTAAGTAGTGCATGACTCATTTCCTTTTACAGCTGAACCCATGTGGAATAAGAATATATTGTTTCTTACAGGGCAAATTACTTCTACTAATCTGAATTGTTAACAGGATATCATCTAAAAATACCCAAATTTGCTTATTTTTGAATCTCCATGGCAACAATGTTTTTGAAAGTCTACCCAATTTTATTTATTTATTTTAGTTTTTTTTTTTTTTTTTGATTAATTTAACAATAATTTTTTTTTCTTGAACTGTCTAACAGAATGCATACACCTGTGAAATACTATTATACGAAGCAAGGATAAACAACGTCAAGGACCATGCAGTTTGAAAATTATGAAGCAAAAGATAAATTTATAATTTGACCTTGAAGTCAAAGGTCAGGGTGAAAAGAAGGCCATGGTACTTTATGATTCATTTTCATTAAGGAATGAAGCTTATTTCAACTTATATTATCCGATATAACATAACTTGGGGCAGTTTACGCTTTATAAACCGCGAAGCGGTTTATAAGAAAGCGTAAACTGTCCCAAGTTTTGTTATATCGGATAACATAAGTTGAAATTAGCTTCATTCCTTATAATTTAATTTCAGTGTAGACAATGAGACAATATTTCCTCCGGAAAAAGGCTTTAAATTGAGCAATATTTTAAAAGTAACGTCAAGCGGAGTAATACGTTTTTGACGTACATGTAACTCATTGTGACGTAGGCAAGTTATGTTATACAAAATGTTATATGTTCCTCTGAATGGTTCAGCCAATGAAATTGCTTGATGCAAGTGAAATTAAATTATTTCCAGATGTACCAGTCTGTTATAATATTGGATATTGTTTCCTATAGGATAAATTACTTATTAATACTATGACTTGTTCACAGGAAATCATCTATAAATGCCTTAATTTGTATATCTTTGAATCTCCATGGCAACATTGTTTTTGATTGTCTAC